TATTAAATTAGAAATAAATTTAATAAATTTGTAACTGATTATACCATTAAAATTTATTAAAGAACCGAGTATTTAAAAATAATTGTTCAGTTGTTTGTTTATTCTAAATTAAACGGATCCACAAACGAGCTTTAATCGAACCAACAACGAGTAGCTCGCTTGACGTTGGTTCTCTTGCAAGCCCTAGAGATTACATAGTATTCATTTTACTTTAGACAAAATTTAAAAAAAATATTTTTCTACATTTATTTTGCACTCATTCAAAATTTTCTCAAAGAAACCAAGTATAATAAATTTTATTTATCATTCATTCCTTTTACTCTTTTATCAGCAATACAAAATAGCACGTAAATAAAAACCCCTATTATATTTCATTTTAAGGTTTTGTTTGGGACAAATTTTATATGTTTTTATAAAAAACAATTTTTTAGTACAATATTCTTTTGAAAAAGAGATTTTTTGTACAAAAAGCTGCTTTACAAAGTAATAAGAAAGTTGTCACAAACAGAGTGTCCTAAAAATTATAATGAATTATTTTAGGGCTTTTTTGTTACATTCTTTTTTTATGTTTTTAAAGTGCCCCCGTAATTTTGTAGCTTATAAAATTTTTTAAATAATTTTTTTTATTACTAAAAAGTTAGCTTTAAAAATAATTTTAAAAAAAAAAAATACACTTATTTACCAACAACATTCTTAGTTTAAAAAAGTGTCACCTTTTATAAAAGTATGGGATTTAAAATTTACATTTATATACCTCAATGTAAAAATATAGTGGTTATACTGTAAATTTAATTGACAGAATCGATAATGAAGTAAGCATGCTGGATCCCTTCATAGGCCTAGGTAGCTTACGTAATTCTGGATTATTTTGTGAAGCTGCAATTTTTACATATTATAATTTTATATATCACTTCGAAGATTTTATTTGGCGCCCTACCAATATATATCTGTTTTGTCTACAGCTATGCGCACAATGATTACCATATAAAAAAGAAAAAAAATCTAAAAGTCATTAATAGAAAATAGTTTTACAAATAAAAAAATCTAAAAAAATGAAAAAGATAAAGCGCACAATTTCTTCTCTAGAAAATTTTTTAATAAAAAACTATTTATAAAATAGGTAAGAAACCTTGAAAATAACTTTACAACAGAATTATTTTTTGCCATTCTTTTCCATTGCTTTCAATTAAAAGAATTTTTAGCTTAAAAATTAGGCGATTTTTACGAAAATAACGATAAAAAAAACTATTTGAAATTTATTATATTTAACACCTAAAACTTCTATATTTTTACTAATTATACCACCTAAAAAATCTGTTCTTCGTATTCTACCACTTTCTCATTGAAGACCATGAAGATACTTAGTATTCACTGTGAAAGGATGCCTATTGATGGGGGGAAAACAGTCACTGATAGTGATTTTTTACGGAAGTGTTTAAATTGGAATGTTAGAATTGATAAAAGAGTCGTTTTAGTGGTGGGTATATTAGTAAATATAGAAGTTTAGATGTTAAAGTATGTATTTTCAATAGTTTAGGGTGTTATGGTATGTCAATAATCCTAAAAATTATTGTATTTTAAATAATAAAAAATAATTTGTCTCAACGAACTATAAGCGTAGTTGGAAGTTCTTGTGAAAAATAATAACTTTTTAAAAGCTACTTATTAAAAAGGCAAACTCCCTTACACAAAAATTTATTAAAAGCACGTGAAAAAAATAGTGATTGGAGGACATTCGTTTGGAATAGCTATTCTTAACTGGCCGTTTTTAAACACAGCTTCAAAAAGCAGTGAGAAAGTCCAGGTTTCTTTCTGCTTCCTCAAGCATTTTTTTATTTTTTACTAGAATAACTACTTTAAGAGCAGTAGGAAAGCTGTCTCAATTGAAGACTAGCCGCCGTGTTGAAACGAAACGCAACTTTTTTATTACTTTTTAAAATGCAATTTTTTTAATAAAAAAAATATTAGTTTAATAAGCTTTTTTAAACTTAGAAAGACTAAAAAAAATAGTGAAAAAAAGCTGTTGATTAAATAAAACCCTAAATAAAATTATATTGATTGTCTAAAAATTAATAATAATATTAAAGTTATCCCCAAATTAAATTTTTTAATAATATGTAGGCAATTCCCTTAATTATTCTGTATTACAATGTTGTGAGATTTTTCAACTGCTGAATCCCTTTTTGTAATGTCGGCTTAATAGCAATCATTATATGCACACGTGACTATAATTTTTATTTGCGTAGACTTTTTCAATGTCACCTTCATAACAACTAATGAAGTTCTTTAAGGTTATTGAGGATTTTGATTGGATCAATGGATTTTGTTCCCTTTATTCAATTTATTAAGAGACATTTTAATCTTATTATATACATATAATATATATATATATATACCCATATATACCCTTATATATATATATATATATATAATATATATAAAGAGGAGAGAGAGGAGAGAGACTTTTAATAATTCTTAAATAATAAGTCACAAAACATTAACATCTTCCATGCATTGCAAACATTTAACGGCGTCTGAGAACATTTTATATTTTGTTATTTTATTTTAATTTGAATCTTCTAGCCCTAGGGACGATAATAATATGATATTGTAGATGATTTATCTGTCCAGCGCTGAAAATTTTAACAAACAATAATAAATCTTAACTAAAAGTTTAAAGAAGATGTCTAATATTTGACTCCAAAAAAAAATCATATGATATGCACCGATATTTTGACTTAATCTTTTCTAAAAATTGGAAATCTTTTAAATTCACAAATAATTGATCATATGAATTTAAAGTTTGGCATGCTTATAGTTTGAGTCAAGCAGCTCATGGAAACAAACCCAATAGCTCAAGATCACCCTCAAATTTGACATCCATTAAGGCACTTTAAATGCTCAAAAAAATATTCAATCATCCCATTAAATCGTATATGGATTGTATAATGGAGGTTTTTTTTTATTCAGTTTCAAATGTAAAAAAACGTTCATCGAATAAAACCGCCTATAGATGAGCTTCATTCTTCACATAAGAGGAGGGAGAAATCCGATAGAGAACCATAGAGCTCTCTATATAATTTTTCATTCTATCAACCTACTTTATGATCAACAAATTCAACTATTGTCACTGATAATCACCATTGCCACCGATGCTTACTGTTAGTATATCGCCACCACCTCCAAATAATTCTGACATTAATATTAAACCCCTAATATTGAGTATTGTTTCAGCTCCATGGACATCTACTTTTGTAATCTCTAGCAGAAAATCAAGCTCTTATTGTTGGGTTTGTTAATTATGCCATTACGAACACTTAATCTATCTGTCCCCACAAGGAAATCAGATATTTTATTCTCAACTCACTCATTTCTTCTTCACTGTGATGAAGAAAGTTATTCTTTGTATCGTTCGCTATATAGTAAATTTTCCATCTAAGTCAGGCTCTGTTAATTTTCTCCTTTCCAGATTTCACGAAAAAAAGTTATGATCTTTACAACTTTTTATTTATAATGTTGAATTTGTATAATTGCTCAAATACAAAATATACTCTAACCAACTTCAAATTTTCTTGGCACGTAACATAGATCGAACATATTTAATTTTGAATCTATTTCAATTTGAATATATATCAATATCATTATTTTAATAATTTTGTGAATATTATAAACATCCAAATTTTATTTTTAATGAAATTTTGGGCTAAGAAATCAGCTGGTTCAAACCAAGTTAATCCCTATAATGTCTCACTTAATTGTGTGTTACAATTAAAATGAGATTTTGATTCGATAAATCCATCGAGGTCCAAAATCGCTCCAAAGAAGCAAGTAAATGATTATGGAGAACAATAATGTCAAACAATCTAATGAGGGGTTTCCTAGGAATTCCGATAGAAATTAAACCAAGATATACGTTCCCGCAACCACCTAATGATGATCATGCACCATCGGTTAAGTTTACAGGTCTCACCAAACCCTTACTAACATTCTTCCTGAAACCAATGATCGCCATTTTTATAAGTGCTCATTGTTCCACCCAGACGCTTCTAATTATTAACTAAACTGCTAAAGAATTTATCAGTCTCCCAAAGATCTCTATAGCGTCTTACACAAATTCCTAATTCACTACTAAATAAATTTCGTTTTTTTGCAATACTTTTTAAGACCTATTGTAGTTGTTTAAACATCAACTGATATTTGAGCGGTTTTAAGGCACATCCACTGCCAAATCTATGTATTTGCGTTTGCTGGAAAGGCTGTTATTATAGCAGGTTTTATTGAGTGATGTTGTAGGAAGGTCTTAACATGGGAACAATGAGAAGAAGAAGAGAGACCAAATGCCCCAACTTCCAAGCGGCAACAGGACATGCATTCATCTCCCACCTTCTCGATGATTCACCTTAGTTGCCTTCATTTTGTTCTCGGCCCCTCCCCTGTGGGCAGGACTCCGTTGTACTTCTCCTGGCTAGGATCATTTGGCCCTGCT